AGACCAGACCTTTTGGTCTTTGATCTGCTCAGATTAGTACTTTCACAAAACAAAACACTTACAAAATATAAACCCAAATGTTCTACTCTTTGACTCAATGAATATAAAATTCCTCTGTCAAATTGCAAGACCAGAGAGTTTCACAGATGAATTCTACCAAACTTTTATAGAAGAGTTAGTACTTATTCTTCTTAAACTATTGGAAAAAACTGAAGAGGAAGGAGCACTTCTGAACACACTCTAGAGCCCAGCAGCGTCACCCTGATATCAAAACCCAACAGTGAAACCACAAAAAGAGAAACTTACAGGCAAATATCACTGATGAACATAGATGCAAAAATCCTGAACAAAATATTGGCAAGCTGAATTCAATAAAGCATGTAAAAGATTATACACAATGATCAAGTGGAATTTATCACAGAGATGCAAGGATAGTTCAATATTTGAAATTCAATCGAGATGATATGCCATATTAACAAATTGAAGAATAAAAATCATATGATCATCTCAATAGATGCATTAAAACCTATTGACAAAATTTAACATTGATTTATGATTAAAAAAAAAACTTTCCACAAAGTGGGCATAGAGGGAACATACCTCACCATATTGATGCTTTTGACTGTGAACAATTGATGCTTTTGAACTGTGGTGTTGGAGAAGACTCTTGAGAGTCCATTGGACTGCAAGGAGATCTAACCGGTCCATCCTAAAGGAAATCAGTCCTGAATATTCATTGGAAGGACTGATGCTGAAACTGAAGCTCCTATTCTTTGGCCACCTGATGCAAGGAACTGACTCACGGGAAAAGACCCTGACGCTGGGAAAGATTGAAGGCAGGAGAAGGGGACGACAGAGGATGATGAAAGATTTTTGCTGAGCCTTTGAAAGACACTGGGATTCTTGGCCTCCGGGGGAGAGGAATTCAATCTGGGTCCAGTGACAAGGCTTGATTGCTCAAAGCTTTTGTGTGATAAAGTTTTATTAAAGTATAAAAGAGATAGACAAAGCTCCTGACACATACACCAGAAGGGGGCAGAAAGAGCGCCCCCTGCTGGCCTTTAGCAGGAAGTTATATACCTACCAGCAGGCTGCTAATAAGAGAAGGTAGGTAAATGTCTCAAAACTCAGAGTGGCACCAGGCCCCTACAACACTGGCACAAGGTGAGTCATCCCGGGCCATAAAAAGATTGGCATGAATCTTGAAGAAAGGCAGGTTTCTAAGCAAATACATAGTCTCATTAACATAGCTTAAGAGAATATTTGCAAGAGTAAAACATACTGGTTTGTTGAGTAAAACATATTGATTTGTCAAGTCAGTTCTGAGTCTTAGGCAGAACCAACTTGAAGAGAGACAGAATCTAAGGTAAATACATAGTTCATTAACATAGATTAAGAAAAACATTTTCATAAGAAAAACGTATTGGTTAGCTCAAGGTTTGAGAAAAGTTAACTTCAGGTGGAACCAAGTGTCATCATGGCAACACAGAATTTAAAAAGAAACTTTCTTTTAATTTTGTATAGAAAATGGAAAAAAATCTGACTCTTGCAGCCTATTTTCTCCATTTGGGGGCCTCTAGCCTTCCTGCCTGTTACCTTCTCAATGAGATGGTTGGATGGCAACACCAACCCGATGGACATGAGTTTGAGCAAGCTCCGGGAGTCGGTGGAGGACAGGAAAGCCTGGTGTGCTGCAGTCCATGGGGTCACAAAGAGTCGCACATGCTCAGTGACTGAACTTAACTAACCTCAACGTAACAACGGCCAAACCTACAGGGCTTCCCTGGTGGCTCAGAGGTAAAGAATCTGCCCATTAGTGCAGGAGATGCAAGTTCAAACCCTGGGTTGGGAAGATTCCTCTGGAGAAGGAAATGGCAACTCACTCCAGTATTCTTGTCTGGGAAATCCCATGGACGGAGGAGCCTGGCGGGCTACGGTTCATGGGGTCACAAACAAGTCAGGCAGGACTTAGCGACTAAAGAAGGACAATGACAAACCTATAGCTAACATCAGACTCAACAGTGAAAAGCTGAAAGTATTTCCTCTTACATCAAGAATAAGACAAGCAGGCTTATTTTCACTACTTTCGTTCAAAACAGTGTTGGAAGTTCTAACCACAACAATCAGACAAGAAAAAAAAATAAAAAGAATTCAAATTGGAAAGGAAAAAGTAAAATTGTTACTGTTTGCCCGTGGCATGATACTATATATAGAAAACCCTTAAGATCCCACAAAAAGAAACATCAAACTAAGAAATGAATTCAGTGATGTTGCAAGATACAAATTAATGTGCAGAAATATGCTGCATTTCTTTTTTTTTTTGTGTGTGTGTGTGTGTAATAAAGTTTTATTAAAGTATAAAGGAGATAGAGAAAGCTTCTGACATAAGCATCAGAAGGGGGCAAAAGAGTACCCCCTTGCTAATATTAGCAATGGAGTTATATACTCTCCAATGAATCTAAAGAATGTCTGGAGGCTGCAAAGACCTCACCAGACCCACTCCCATAATTTACATTTTTTCATATGCTGCATTTCTATACACTAACAATGAACTGTCAGAAAGAGAAATTATGAAAACCAATCCCATTTACAATTGCATCAAAAGAATAAAATGCTTAGGAATAAATCTAACCAATGAGGTAAAAGACCTGTAGTCATAAAACTATAAGATATCGATGAAAGAAATGGAAGATGACACAGAAAAGGGGACAATACACGGTGCCCACTGGATTGGAAGAATTAACATTACTAAAATGACCATACTACTCAAGGCAACACAGAGAATCAATTCAATTCCTATCAGAACACCAATAGAATTTTTTCACAAAACTAGAACAAATAATTTTAAGATTTATGAAAAACAAAAAGACTCTGAATGGTCAAACAATCTTTAGAAAGAACAAAGCTAGAAAAATCAGGCTCACTGATTTCAAACTATACTACAAAGCTACAGAGGGTAAACACTGTGTGTTTCCAAAATGTCTGATACTGGCACAAACGCAGATTCATAATCAGTGGAACAAAACAGAGAGCCTAGGAGTAAACTTATACTTAGATGGGCAATCAATCTACAGTGGAGATGACAAGAATATGTAACAGGGAAAAAGACTCTTCAGTAAATGGTGCTGGGAAAACTGGACAGTTGTGGGCAGAATAATCAAACTGGACTGCTTTCTGATACCATACACAAAAATAAACTCAAAATGAATGAAAGACTTAAATGTAAGCCCTGAAACCATAAAATTCCTAGAGAGAAACATAGGCAGTATGCTCTTTGACATCAGTCTTAGCAACTTTTTTGGGTCTGTCTCCTAGGGCAAGGAAAACAAAAGCAAAAATAAATAAATATCAAACTGAAAAGCTCTTGTGCAGCAAAGGAAACTATCAACAAGATGAAAAGGCAGCCTACTGAATGGGAGAAGATATTTGCAAATGACATATCTGATAGGGAGTTAATATCCAAAATATACAAAGAACCCATAAAACTCAACATCATAAAAACAACCTGATTTAAACATGGGCAGATAACATGAATAGACATTTTTCCAAAGAAAACATACAGACAGCCAGCATCACTACTCATCACAGAAATGCAAAGCAAAACCACAATGAGGTATCACTTTACATCTGCAAAATGACTGTTATCAAACAGACAACAAATAGCAGGTGTTGGTGAGAATGTCGTGAAAAGGGAGCAGTTGTACACTGTTGATGGGCATGTACATTGGTGCAGCCACTGTGGAAAATAGTACGGAGGTTCTTCAAAATATTAAAAATAGGACTACCATACAATCCAGCAATTTCACTTCTGGGTATTTTTCTGAAGAAAACAAAAAGACTAATTGGAAAAGATATTTGCATCCCTATGTTTATTGCAGCATTGCTTACAATAGCCAAGAGGAAGCAACCAAAGTACCCATCAAGAGTTGAGTGGATAAAAAGGATACAGTTTACTTGTACAATGGAATATCATTTGGCCTTAAAAAAGAATCTTCCTATTTCTGACAACATCAGTGAACCTAGAGGGTATTATGCTAAGTGAAATAATTTTGACAGAGAAAAACAAATACCATGTGATTTCACTTGAAAGTGGAATCTAAAAACAAAACAAGTGAACAAACATAATAAAAGCAGAAACAGACTTATATATAAAGATTGCCAGAGGGCAGGAGTGTGTTTAAATAGGAGATGAAGGAAATAGAACAGGGACTAAGAGGGGCAAACTAACTTCCAGTTACAAAATAAATGTCATGAGGATGAAATACACAGCATGGAGAATACAGTCAATAATATTGCAATAACTTTGTAGTGACAGATGGTGAGTACATGTAACATAGTGATGGTCTAGTAATGTACAATAATATCAAGTCAGCAGGTTGTGCCCCTAGAGCTAACAGCGTACTTCAATTAAGAAAAAGAAGAACTTTCCTGTTTGTCTTTGATGGTCTTAATTTTCATTGCAATATGTCTATTTATCAGTTCTCCCTTATCTTTCCTGTATGCATTCTTAGGTCCTTTCACCTTTAAGTACAAGAAATTTATATTGCTTCTTTGAATATTTCCTTTCCTCCATTTTTCCTCTTTTCTTCTGAGGCTTCTATTATCTGGATATTGACACATCTATCTTCCACATGTCTTAGATTTTATTTTCTATTTTCAATATTTTCTCTTTACATTTCTTCCTAAGAGGATTTCTCAATCTATAATCCCTGTGTCAGGGATTTCCCTGGCAGTCCAGTGGTTAAGACTTAACTGTTCAATTCAAGGAGTGCAGGTTCAATCCCTGGTTGGCGAGCTAAGATCCCACATGCCTTGTGGCTAAAAACAAAACAAAACATAAAACAGAAACAACATTGTAACAAATTTAATAAACACTTTAAAAGTCAATAAATAAAACCGCTGTGTCATTTTTCATCTGATCTCCCATTTCAACCACTATATGAAATCAACCATTCCTGGGATTGGGGTATGCGGTGGAGGAGGACGTGGTGAAAGATGAGATGAAAGAAGGAATGTGTTCTGGTCTGGTGGCTGAGCAGCCTGTATTGTTTTCAACAGTTTCTCACCCCAGCAGGGTTTCCGGACAGCCCTACTGTTACCTCCCTGGGTCGGGAAGATCCTCTGGAGAAGGAAATGCGACCTGCTCCAGTATTGTTGCTTGGGAAATCCCATGGCCAGAGGAGCCTGGCGGGCTACAGTCCGTGGGGCCACACAGTTGGGCTGAGCAACTGAGCACGCACGCACCATTACCTCCGGAACCTGAGCACCTCGTCTCTGGCTTCTGGGGTGAAGAGGCAAAGGAGAGGGAGAGGAGAGCTGAGGAACCTACCCAGCCCTTGCCTGAACTAGTCGTCCCCTACTCCAGGGCAGAGCTGGCCCGTTCCACACACCCACGCTGAGTGGTCCAGATCAGCTTCGTGCCTCCTTGCAGGACCCTGCGTCAGTTCTTCTGTCAGTTCTTCAAACCCACGTTTCTCCCTCAGATCTGTAGTTTTGCCAGACTGGTGCTGGCAAAGGAAGCCCGCAGCCTGTGCCATTTTTCAATCTTGGCGGAAGAAAAGGGGAAACATACAGCGCACTGTCTTATGTGTAGTTTAAAAGATACACACGGAGATGCTAAATACTTTTCAAGGAGCCACAGATCTAAAAAAAAAAGAAAATGTATGAAGGATACTTGGTGGTGGAGATGGAAGAAGAAATGGGGAAAAGGAATCAAATAAAACACAGCTGGTGTCTTACACAAACCAGTGAGCTATGAGGAGGAACCATGGTCCAACTGGTCAATTATAAATGCATTAATCCTTTGATCAGCAAAACCACTTCTGGAAATCTCCCCTATAAACACACACACACACCTACACACACAGGGAGTGTTGCCTGAGCAGCATGTAAGTGACAGAGTGAGGATTCGAGCCCAGAGCTATCTTGACCCAAAGTCTGTTCTGTCCACTGTCCGTGATAAAAGAAATCTCTCCTGGGGTGTTGGTGTGAGTGCCCGCTCACACACAGGTCAGCTGGGCCCCTGGGTCCTGGTTTATATCATCTGGCCAGAATAAATACCCATTTCTCAAGTAGTGCTATCTCTTGGCTGTATCAACAGAGATTGTACCTAATTCAAAATTCATTCTTCTTTTGAGTCTGTCTTCAGCTTTGCAGGATTTTTTTATTTATTTATTTTAATTGGGGGCTACTGACTTTACAATATTGTAGTGGTTTTTGCCATACACTGACATGAATCCGCCATGGGTGTACATGTGTCCCCCATCCTGAGCCCCCGTCCCACCTCCCTCCCCATCCCATCCCTCAATGTCATCATCCCAGTGCACCAGCCCTGAGCGCCGTCTCATGCATCGAACCTGGACTGGCGATCTGTTTCACATATGGTAATATACATGTTTCAATGTTATTCTCTCAAACCATCCCACCCTCGCCTTCTCCCACAGAGTCCAAAAGTCTGTTCTTGACATCTGTCTTCAGTTTTAAGATGGAATTAAATGGGCACACCCTGCCGGATAGTAGGTACAATAAAGTCAGGTTCATGCTGAGTGGCTGAAAAGTGACCATCTGAGACTTAAAATAGTCTCTACACGACGTAACTAGGTGAATAAGTGAGCGAATGGTAACAGAAACCTCACCTGGTTCACTGTTAGCTAGGGGCCTGGCCGGACACAGCAGCCACAGAGGGTCCAGGACGCAGGAGGGGCTGCAAGAATCTGGGGAGACATATAAGAGGTGCCAGCCACAGTCACCACCGTGGGCCACTCAGACCCACTGAAGCCCTTCCTCTATACCCAGCTTTCCCACCGCAGCATGGGGCCTCTGTTATCTTGTGATAAGAAGATGCCCGCACTTCTACACTGAAAGGGAGGTACAAGGCCAGTGGGTCCGAGTCCTTCAAATGCAGGTCTCCTAAAACATTCTCATCAAGAAGGTTAGCAAAGGGCGTCCCTGGTGGTCCAGTGGTTAAGAATCCACTTGCAGGGCACATGGGTTCCATCGCTCACCGCTCTGAGCAGATGCCACTTGCTGCAGGGCAACTAAACTCATGTGCCGCAGCTACAGAAGCCCGAATGCCCCAGACCCTGCGGCCTGAAACAGGAGACGCCGCCGCAGTGAGCAGCCAGCGCGCCACAGCCAGAGAGGAGAGCGCCATCACCGCCGCGGCCGACCGCCCGGGCGCAGCGGCGAAGGCCCGCAGAAGCCAGAGACGCAGTAACATGCTCCAAAAGGCCAGGGAAGCAGCCACTGCTGCAGCTGCTTCCAAGGTCTTCGCTGATACCATCACGCCCTTACTCCCACACCCATTTCAGAGTTTCCTCATTCTCTTTGGCTTATTTTTGCTCATGTGGCAAATGCCACCTTTACTCAAAAGGATAACCCTGAGCAAGCAATCCACTGATCCTAGAGGTGACTCAGGGCCACCTGGGCAAGGAAATTCCAAAGTCACAGGCATCCAGATCATAGCCTAGAAGGACGGCCACAGGCTCTGCGCAGGCACTTGGCTTGGCCTGCCCAGTCCTCATCCCAAAGAGGGGCGCTTGGTCTACCCAGGTCTGATAATGGGACTGCTACCTGTCTTGGCTCATGAAACTCTGAGAATGGACTCGGAGAAAAGGATTTGTCTCAAAGAAGAGGCTCTTTCAGGAGAGGCTGAACATTTAGGGAAACAATTAGCCCCTTTTCGAGTCACCTTCCCCAAAGCACGACTTTACTTTATTTCCATGGTTTTTTTTGTTTGTTTGTCTTTGGCCAATGAAGTGGTGACTCTACTGGTCTCTGAAGACCTGGAAAATCAAATCTAGACTATCTGAGCTTCCCACATTTAGTTCAAGCCTAGCCCAGGAAACTTTTCAAGGGCAAAGCTTCATTCCGTGGTGAATTTCATTCCCTAAGGGAAAGAAATCACATCCACCGCATTATGCGGCCTGGAGGAGAGGAAAGAGCCTGCTGACTGACAGAGGGACTTGCCCACTTTGCAGCTGGGTCACGGCAGGGAAGTAGTTTCCATTCAAATGAGGGGGTGATGAGAAGGGTGCTCAGAAATCAGGATGCTGACGACGCAATGACAACAGCAGCAAAAACAATGCGTCTCAACAACTCCCACTTGCTGACGTTTACTTTGAGTCACATCCTCGGCCAAGCGTTTTAACTGCGTTTTCTCATTTAGTCCTCTTAGCAACCTTACGAGGTAGATAATATTGTTATTTCCACTCTCCATCCATTTATTCAACAAGACATTTATTGAGTGTTCCATGTTCCAGGCATAAAACCAGGCACTAAGGATTTAACAAAAACCAATCAGACTATCATGGCAAGCAGAAGGGGAAAAAGTGAAAACAGTGACATATTTTCTTTCCCTGGGCTCTAAAATCAAAGCAGATGGTGACTGCAGCTATGAAATAAAAAAATGCTTGCTCCTTGGAAGAATAGCTATGACAAACCTAGACAGCGTATTAAAAAGCAGAGATGCCAATAAAGGTGTATAGTCAAAGCTATGGTTTTTCCAGTAGTCATGTGAAAGTTGGACTATAAAGAAGGCTGAGAGCCGAAGAATTCATACTTTTGAATTGTGGTGAGGAAGACTACGGGCAAGAGGAGAGGGGGTGGCAGAGGATGAGATGGTTGGTTGGCATCACTGACTCAATGGACATGGCTTTGAACAAACTCCAGGAGACAGTGAAGGACAGGGAAGCCTGGCGTGCTGCAGTTCATGGGGTCACAAAGAGTCAGAGACAACTTAGTGACTGAACAACAACAACAAAGGAAGGATCAAGACGGCAGAGTAGGAAAACCCTGGGTTCACCTCCCGCCATGAACACATCAAAACTGCATCTACTTATAAAGAAACTCTTTCTGAGAACAATCTGAAGACTAGCAGAATGGCTCTTCCACAACCAAGGTTATAAATACAGAACCACGCCGAGTCTTGTAGGAGGGGAGAAGATAATCTAGTCAGGACCTACACGCCTAGTGAGCACCCCAGAACAGGAGGGAGGTGCCAGGGGCTTGGGGACCCTCCCTAAGGACTGCAGGCCTTGAACCCCGTATTAGACACCCTAGCCCTGGGGTCTGGCCCTGGGAAGATGAACCCTCTTTAGGCTGGTCTGAAAATCGGTGGGGCTTACCCGAGGGTTACAAGAAGCTGAGACCCTGCTCTTAAAGACTGTGCACACAGATCTGCTTGTTCCCAGACCCGGCACAGAGGCAGCAGGCTGGAAACTGTCGGTGCTCCGGCCAGCCTTCCAGGACCAGGCCAGTGCACTCCCTAGCCCACACCAGCCTCCTACTCCAGCCTGACCTATGCCAGCCCTGCGCCCCATCCAGGCAATAACCATCATCACACACACCAGAGAGACAGAGAGCCAGCTCAGAAGTACAGCTCCAGCCCCCCAAGCTGGTCCTACACCCGCCCTCTCAGCCAAGGCAGGGACTGCCATCCTGTGCCCAGGGAGAAGGCAGTGCAGCTCAGAACTGCTGCTCTAGGCCCTAGGGCCCCGCCCCCACCCCACCTCCAGGCAAAGCAGAAATTTCCATCTTTCCAGGGAGAAGTTCATCTCCCTGGGGCTCCTCCTCTAGGCCCTCAGGGACCAGTCAAACAGGGCAGAGACTGTCTCTGAGCCTGAGAGAACCTCCGCATCTTGTACTAAGTTCCACCTTTAGTCTCTCCAGCACCAGCCCCACCTCCCACCACCATGCTGGCCGCCAGCGCCCCCCAAGAGAAGACACTGCCAGGCTCACTTGAGACCCCACCAAAGCCAGCGGGCACCAAAGACTTCAGAGCGACTCTCCCGCACAAGGACGCGCCTTCAAGACTCCGGCAGTAAACTGGCCCTCCTAAACCCACAGAGACGAACAGAGCAATCACGCAGAATAAGATGACAGAGGAGTCCGTTCAGAATGAAAGAACAAAATAAGAAACCTAGAAAAAAAAAGCCCTAATGAAATGGAGATAAATAAACTGAGCAGTGGAGGACTCTGCATGACTCTCAGAGACTCGGAATGCCTTCTCAGGGGACCGAGTGACTGAACCACAGCAAATGTGACCAAGGTACCATATGATATTTGTCTTGGTCTGACTTACTTCATTTAATATGATAATAGCCAGGTGTATCTACGTTGCTGCAAATGGCATTATTTCATTCAAATATATACTATTTTAAGCCACCAGTTCAGTCCAGTCGCTCAGTCGTGTCCGACTCTTTGTGACCCCATGGACTGAAGCACAACAGGCCTCCCTGTCCATCACCAACTCCTGTAGCTTACTCAAACTCATGCCCATTGAGTCGGTGATGCCATCCAACCATCTCATCCTCTGTCATTCCGTTCTCTTCCCACCTTCAGTCTTTGCAGCATCAGGGTCTTTTTCAATGAATCAGTTCTTCACATCCAGTAGCCAAACTATTGGAGTTTCAGCTTCATCATCAGTCCTTCCAATGAATATTCAGGACTGATCTCCTTTAGGATGGACTGGTTGGATCTCCTTGCAGTCCAAGAGACTCTCAAAAGTCTTCTCCAACACCACCATCAATTCTTCAGCGCTCAGCTTTCTTTATAGTCCAACTTTCACATCCATACATGGCTACTAGAAAAATCATAGCTTTGACTAGATGGACCTTTGTTGGCAAAGTAACATCTCTGCTTTGTAATATGCTATCTAAGTTGGTCATAGCTTTTCTTCCAAGAAGCAAACATCTTTTAATTTCCAGCCTGCAGTCACCATCTGCAATGATTTTGGAGCCCAAAAACAAAGTCTCTCACTGTTTCCATTGTTGCCCTGTCTATTTGCCATGAAGTGATGGGACCAGATAACCATGATCTTGGTTTTCTGAATGTTGAGCTTTAAGCTTTTTTCATTCTCCTCTTTCACTTTCATCAACAGGCTCTTTAGTTCCTCTTCACTTTCTGCCCTAAGGGTGGTGTCATCTGCGTATCTGAGGTTATTGATATTTCTCCTGGCAATCTTGATTCCAGCTTGTGCTTCATCCAGCCCGGCATTTCGCACGATGTACTCTGCATATAAGTTAAATAAGCAGGGTGACAATATTGAGCCTTGACGTACTCCTTTCTTAATTTGGAACCAGTCAATTGTTCCCTGTCCAGTTCTAACTGTTGCTTCTTGACCTGCATACACATTTCTCAGGAGGCAGGTCAGATGGTCTGGTATTCCCATCTCTTTCAGAATTTTCCACAGTTTGTTGTGACCACATAGTCAAAAGCTTTGGCACAGTCAATAAAGCAGAAGCAGATGTTTTCCTGGAACTCCCTTGCTTTTTTGATGATCCAACTGATGCTGCCAATTTGATCTCTGGTTCCTCTGCCTTTCGTCAATCCAGCTTGAACATCTGGACATTCACGGTTCATGTACTGTTGAAGCCTGGCTTGAAGAATTTTGAGCATTACTTTGCTATCATGTGAGATGAGTGCAATTGTGTGGTAGTTTGAGCATTCTTTGGCATTGCCTTTCTTTGGGATTGGAATGAAAACTGACCTTTTCCAGTCCTGTGGTCACTGCTGAGTTTTCCAAATTTGCTGGCATATTGAGTGCAGCACTTTCATAGCATCATCTTTTAGAATTTGAAATAGCTCAACTGGAATTCCATCACCTCCACTAGCTTTGTTCATAGTGATGCTTCTTAAGGCACACTTGACTTTGCATTTCAGGATTTCTGTCTCTAGGTGAGTGATCACACCATTGTGGTTATCTGGGTCATGAAGTTTTTTTTGTATAGTTCTCCTGTGTATTCTTGCCACCTCTTCTTAATATCTTCTGCTTCTGTTAGGTCCATACCATTTCTGTCCTTTATTGTGCCCATCTTTGCATGAAATATTCCCTTGGTATCTCTAATTTTCATGAAGAGATCTCTAGTCTTTCCCATTCTATTGTTTTCCTCTATTTCTTTGCATTGATCACTGAGGAATGCTTTCGTATCTCTCCTTGCTATTCTTTGGAACTCTGCATTCAAATGGGTACATCTTTCCTTTTCTCCTTTGCCCGTTGCATCTTTTCTTTTCACAGCTATTTGTAAGGCCTCCTCAGACAACCATTTTGCCTTTTTGCATTTCTTTTTCTTGGGGATGGTCTTGATCCCTGTCTCCTGTACAATGTCACAAACCTCTGTCCATAGTTCTTCAGGCACTCTATCAGATCTAATCCCTTGAATCTATTTCTCACTTTCACTGTATAAGCAAAAGGGATTTGATTTAGGTCATACCTAAATGGTCTAGTGGTTTTCCCTACTTTGTTCAATGTAAGTCTGAATTTGGCAATAAGGAGTTCATGATCTGAGCCACAGTCAGCTCCTCATCTTGCTTTTGCTGACTGTATAAAACTTCTCCATCTTTGGCTGCAAAGAATATAATTGATCTGATTTTGGTGTTGGCCATCTGGTGATGTCCACGTGCAGAGT